GACTTTTATAAGTAGACTTGGCTCATTCTTTTCTTGCATAGTCCACATCCATCCACCAGCAAATCCTATAGGTTCTACCACTAAACCATGTCCAAAATGCTACAATTTCCACACCCACCCCAGCCTAAACCATCATCACCTGTCACCTAGATTACTACAGCAGTTTTATTTTACTACTCTCTTTTACCATGGTAGGATCCTGTCCCTCCTTTGTTCAAATCCCCCAGTGGCTCCCAGGAAAATGCAAGCTCCATTATGGCAAGGATTTTTTTCTTTATTACTATATTTCTTGTGCCTAGAACAATGTATTAATATATTAAATATTATGTGCTTAATGTTTAACAAAATGACTGCAAAGCCTCCTAACTTCTCCTCCTACAGCTCTCCCCCTCTTTTGTCCACTTCTTCCTAGCCCCTAGGCAGACTAAAAAAATGCATCTGATCATTCTTTTAAAAAATTCTGATGGGATCCACACATCCTTTAGGGTCTGGCCCCCAAATTTATTTAAACCTTTTCCCCATTCCCCAAAATAGCTGTACATTCCTCACCACATAATAACACTTACATCATCCATGAACCTAACATGTCATTTCTCCATGCTTTTCATATATCTCTGCCTCTACTAGGCCTTATTCATCCTGCAGACCTAGCTATTCCATGATGCCTCCTGAAAGCCCTCATTTATAGCCCCACTGCACTCAGTTCATACCTCCACTATAGTACTTGTGTTATAACTTTGTATTTATCCTTCTGTTTCTCTGACTAGATTACAAGATCCTGGAAAGTAAGTTCATGAGGTTGTATTGAGATTTGTTTCACCAGTGCTTTTAACACTATACTTAGAAGAGAGGAAACCCTGTCAGTATGTTGAATGAAAATTTAAAAGTAAATGAAATAATCTGTTTATGATAGGAGGGGGGGGGGAACCCCCGTGGGGGATGTCTTCCTAAGACATTTTCTGAGTGCTTTCCCGCATCAAACCTGAACCTGATATATAATTTGAGGTTTTTACATTTGTTAAAGAAAGACATACTTTGGTGATTTCAACAATAGTTAAATTCTAGAAACAAAAATAAATCCTGGCTAGTCAGGAAAGACATTTACTCCACTAAACATACTAATTTTCAACTAGATATTGTGTAGAGCATAAAGTGTACTCTGATCTGAGAAAAGGTGTCTGCAATTTTAATTAAAACTGACTTTTTAAAGTAGGAAGGGACTTGGAGGTAATCCAGTTCAACTACCTTATTTCACAAATGAGAAAAATCCTGAAAAAGAGAAGAGTAATAACCAAGTTAGAAGAAAGACCAGGATCAGAAGCAAGGTTTTATTCAAAATAAAGGGTTTTATCAAATGTACCATATTATAACTTACAAACTACTCAAGAATTAAAGGCCAGGACTTATTCTATTACTTCCTCACACTGACTTAATGAAGAGTGAAAATAATATTGCATACCTGGATTCTTATCTAGGCTGTATTTGTGGGATCTCAGACAATTCACTGAACCTTATAATACTACCTTGATTATCAACCTAATACCACATGGAATTATTACAAAAATCAAATGAAAGCTCTGTTGCATATGGAAAATATAATCATCTTTTCCACCTTCATCCCTTCAGATTTTCCAGTGCACTCTCTTGGCAAGATTTCAATCAATATGGAAGGCCATAAACTACTATAATTCTGACTAGTTAGGCATTTTGTTGTTCTTGTTTTACAGAAAGGAAAGCAGGAAGAGAAGGGAAAGAAGGTAGGGAGGTTGTTTATAATGGGCAAAGAATAACCTCCTTCCAAAGGAAAGGTTTATCCATACCTCCTATCAATTAAAGACTCTTTGAGAGTCACAAGATCTTATACTATTCACCTTAAAATTATCTTTTCCCCCAGTACAGTCCCTCTAATACTTTCTACCATTACCATATTTTAGAAAATTCTATAACATTACTTGGGTTATATTTATCTTTTCCTACTCTACTGTAGATGTGTCCAAAGCAGGGACTCATGGGATTTAGCTTTCAAGAGTTGCTGTGAATTGTTTTAACTAGGTCAACATCCAGCTGAAGTATAAAGCTAGGTGGCTAAAGTTGTGCCTGAGAGAACTGAAGGATGAGAGACAAGAATCACACTTCTCTTTGATTTCTCCAACTCCTTTCTCTCCATCTCTATTATTTATTGCTAAAGACCTTTAGAAACTAGGTTCTGAGCTTATGCAGAAGTCTTCTATGACATTCTACATAGCCACAAGTTTATTTACAGGTTTTATATTAATAACCCTTTATAAAAATATAATGTTTTAACTCCATGCATGAAAATATTTAAAGGAAAGTATATCAAATGAATATTTTTTAAAAATTATTCATTTGGCAAACAAATCTTGTGCAAAATGTTCACCACATAAAACATACAAGAAAAAATTTTTAAAGGAGAAAAAATGTTACATTCTGTAAATTCTATTTATAATCTCATTCTCACATACATTATACTATTTTAATTTGTATAAAATCAAGGCAGTTGTAAACATTAATCATATATTTCATTTTTTTCTGCACAAACAATATACCTTAATTTTCAAAAATGTCAGAAAAAGAATATCCCTGAGACAATGCCTAGCTCCATATACCAAGTTTCATATACCTTTCTCCACTCAATTCACAGAAACTTTTATTACAGTATAAAATTGCTATAATATGGAAAAACAGAATTATTGGGGAGCCCACAGATTAGCCCATTTTCCCCAAAATTACTTAAGAATCATCCAGGGAGCCTATGAAAAAATACAATTGCCACAGCCTTCCCCTGGAGATTCTGATTCAGTTTCTCTGGGCAGGGCAAAACTCTACCTCAAAGTAACTTCTGATGATTAGCTAAAATTGGGAAAACACTGATTTAGTACAGTGGTTCTCAATTTGGCACATATTAGACTTACCTGGGGAGCTTTTAGAACTCTTAAAACACAAGCTGAGGTCCAAGCCAATGGACATAGCATCAATATTTAAAAAAAAAAAAAAGGTCCCCAGGGAATGTTGAGAACCATTGATCTTGTAGAACTTGAAAATTTCTCATAGAAGCCTCTTATCAATTAAGAAACTAGACTTGCTCAAGTTCACAAAGCCTTTAAGTGGTGACAAAACCAGAGCTAGAACCATTTCTCCTGACTCCTAGTCCATTTGGTTTTTTGATGTAGTTTTGTTTTTCATCTGGGTTGACAAAAAAGTGTGAAAAAGATAACCATCTCTTTTCACCTCTGAACCATACTGCCAATTAACAATTAGATAAGTTAAAGTGGAGCTAACCTTTTTGTTTCAGAAATCATTCAAAAATGTTTCTTAGTCTGAATTTTAAATAAAAATAGACTGAATATCAGTACTACTTAATCATTAGCTCCTACTATTAAACTGCGAAAATATTACAAAGAATTCTTTAAAGTTTTCTTTTTAACCTCTAGATCAGTATTTTATAGTTTCAAATTCTTTTTAAAGTCTGGCATCACAGTTCCTTACTAGCAAAATTATTTTGATACTTGGTGATATGGATTTTACATTATATAGAATACAAAATTCTACATATTGAAGTTACTCTATGCATTAACAGAGATTTCCTTCTTCCATATAAAAGGAAGAATTTTACACTACACTAGCAAAACTCCATGGTTGACTTGTCCACAGATATTCAGAGTGAGAAACTTCTCAAAGTATTACTTAACTCATTCCAAGAATTTTTTTTAATAAAAAAGTTAACATAAAAACCATGAAAAATGGGTCAAGTGCAAGCATATACACCTAAAATTTTTAAGAGTACATTTTACTTTCTAAAAAGTACTCCATGTTTAACTTGCCTTCTGAGGATCTACTTTTCTTATTACAGTACAGAAGTTGCTGAAATATCACTTTTATCCCTCTCAAGATTGCCAGATATTTAGATATTTCAAATTTCAGCTCTGTTTGTGATTTTTGCTTCTGGGTCAAAAAAAAATGCTTGGAATGCTTTCCCAAAGAGAGATCACGTTACTCCACAGATAAAACTTGAGCAATTTGTATACAGTCTAGTGTACAATGTATACTTTTGATTACTTCTATTCGCAAAGGAGTAACTGTGAGGTCCTAGATTTCCAAATGAACATCCTGAATAAGAATCTGATACAACGAATTTTGTTTCATTCATTTTAATGAATGAAACACCCCTTTTTAATGACCAAGATAGATATGAATGAAAATTTGAGGCTTAACCAAAATTGAGTATGCTAAAGTAAACGCCCCCAAACTGTTGACTAGAACCAAGAATGCGCCTCTTAAGGCACAGAGCAAAAGTAAAATATCGGACTCTCACTCACAGGTTCGAGTGATACACAGTACCTAGAAAACTGGCTTAGACTGAATAATCCATGGAGCTTTTACTTTAGAACACTGCGCTACACTGAGGTTTGCAAAGCCTAGATACTTTGTGTTAACATTTAACTTGAAACTTGCCATTTCAAATTCCAAGGGGTAGGACTGTATATAACACATGGCCTTTGGGGGGCGAGGGGGTGACTTAAAAATTCCCTAAAATCCAAACATGTTTATTTTTAGAGGTGTTCTCGGGTAGTAGTCAAACATTAAAAGACCGGTTACTGAAAATTCCTGGCCGGTCCTACCAGGCGGTGAACACCGGCCCCCGGACGGGGAGGCGCCGGGCCGCAGCACCGCGCCCGCACGCCGAGAGCCGCCCGGCGCCGACGGAGCCCGCCCGGGGGCGGGGGGCTCGTACGTGCCCGGCCGGGGGCGGGGCCGGCGCCGGCGAGCAGCGACCCCGGCTCGGGGAGGCGGGCGCGGCCGGGCCGACCTCCCCCGCGGCCGCGACGCTGAGAGGTTTACATAAGGGTGCGCGTCATGGAACTGATGGAGCCACACAGAGACGTCTAAGTCATGCAGGAGGCGCCCGGCCCCGGCCCGCTCCCGCCGCCCCAGACCCCTCCTCTCATCCGACAGAAAGACAGACAAGAAGGGTTCCCGACCTGTCGTGCCCTGCATGTTCAGAGTCTGTCATGTTTGGTCAAGAACGGGGCGGGGCTGGAGGGCAGGTCTGCGAGGCCGGCGGCGGCGGGGCGCGGGGAGGACCCCTGCGCCGCCTGCGGGTACCTGCTCCCGGCCGCCGCCGACAGGTGACGAAGTGGTAAAAACTCACGGTTACTAGTGAGCGACACAGACACAGACTTTCCAGTCTATTAACAACCACGCCAGAGAGATGGGGCTCTAACTGCAAACACTGGGCAACGGCCCCGCGCTGCCGGCGCTGCCGCTCTAGTCTCTATTCGCCGCCGGTGGCTGTGGCGTGGGAGCGGGCGGGCGGGCGGCGTGCAGCGACGCGGGGATTTGGACAGTGGCCGTAACGGTGATTTCTCCTCACCAACATGGCGGCACCCGAGACAGGCGGCTCAAGAAAATGGCGCCGGCCGCAACACCTTGCCCGGGACTAAAGGGCAAGAGAGATTCCTCCGCGAGCCGCGGCCCTTGCCCAGCCCGCCGGGGCCGAGCTCGTTGACCATTGGAGGAGGCTGCCCGTCAATCACTGCCAGGGGCGGGTTTTCACGCATCCCTGTGCAGCGGCGGAGGCGGCATCTTGGTAGCGGGGCTGGGCGGCGGCAGAAGCGGCCGGGTGGTGCCTTGAGTGGTTTCAGGAGGGGGAGGCGGCCCAGGGGGCCTGCTGGGTCCACGGGAGCCGCTGGGCCGGGTCTCGCATGGACCGTAGTTTCCCCTCAAGACGCCAGCTTCCCAAGACACGAGCAGTTCTAAATGCACAAAACGGCCCCGAAAACCATTAGCCGATATGAGCGGGGGTGGGGTAATCACTCGCGGCTATAGAGTCGTCTTTAACAACAACAAAAAAAGTTCTTGAAATAACGGGGTTAGGTATTGTCTCCGACACAGTTGTAGCGAGTATCTGTTCTTGTAATGTTTAGTTCTCAGAATCGCGTTTTAAGTAATATAGCTTGCTGAGCAACTTTTTTTGATAATACTAAATTTATCTTCCCAATTACTTGGTGATAAAATAAATGTAGCTATTATACTAGTTATATAAATGTTACATTATTTCGTAATTATATATGTAAAACTGTATTTTGTAAATAACAATTAGGCATTACATTTCTTTACACTTGTGAACATGGCCTTTAGGAATAATTTTTAAATAACAAGTCAGTTGTTTTGGCCTGTACATTACTTACTTCTGAAGGAAAGTGCCTTGCTTTTTATTACAATGGTGAACTTAAAGAGTAATCCCAAATATCTGACTTCATTTGTCTTTGCTTAATAACGAGTTTTGCTAATGCATAAATGGAATGCATTCAGAAGCAATTGCAACCAGTATATTAAATTTGAAATTTAAAGTTTTGAATGTATATATTGAAAAGAAGAAAATAACTTTTTTTAAAGAGGATTGCAGCCATCGACAGAACAGTGTGATGATAGAAACTTCACTTGACCAGCAAAAAAAAAGAAAAAAGAAACTGCAGGCATTCTCCACATTTTGCCATATGACATTAATACAATACAGTTCTAGGAAATTTTCAAAAAGATCAATTTTGTCTGGAAGAGCTATGTTAACGTTTGGAGTTACATTAGAATCTCAGGACTTTGTCTTTATTGCGACTATTTTACTTAATTTAGCCTTACTGTAGCTAATTTGGATAGCCATTTCTTTGAGGTTATCTGAGGGCATTTGAGGTAAACAGTTGTTCTTCGTTATACTTCTGTTTTCCCTGTATCTTGAGGCCTCAGGATCTCCTTCAAATCTTTAAAGTCTTTGGTTTGTTATAGTGTGGAACAACATAGTTCTCTCTGGATGAAAAAAAGGCTCCTTCCCTAACCCTTAGCATGCACCATTTAGGAAGTTTGATGCTAAAATATGGCATCAGGCCCTGGTCTTCCTTAGGTAACAGAAAGGGAGGTGTGTCTGGGTGAGCACAGTGGAGCTCCTCTGATGCTATGAGTTTTTAGAATCTAGAAGTGGTTGGAGACCTGGTACACAAAATGCTTTTTTTTTTTTAAGTTAAAGACTAAGCCCAACATTTTTCACCATGTCTTTGTCTCAGTAGATCATTTTCAACCTAACAGATCTTACCTAACAATGACAGCGTGAACTGCAGAACTCTTGTGCCCTAACAATCCTCTCCAAACCTCTGCACTAAGAGATGACCAAACTCTAGCAAGGCTTGTAGCAGCACAGGCTGTGTCCCTAGGATGACCCCAGCACTGCCCACCCCTAATTAAAATGCCTGCCTGGAAAGCTCAATGCTGCCAGAATTTACTGTTTGTCCCAGCCAACACCTGACCAGAGGCCCTTGGCCTCCCTTTATTAGAGCAGCGGTCCCCAACCTTTTTGGCACCAGGGACCGGTTTTACGGAAGACAATTTGGAGGGAGGGGGCAGTGAGGGGTGGGGAGAGGCAGAGGCGGAGGTCAGGCAGCGATGCCAACCATAGGGAGCAGATGTAAATACAGATGAAGCTTAGCTTGGTCACCGCTGCTCACCTCCTGCTGTGGGCTCCCCAACTCCTAATTTGATGGAAGACAATTTTTCCACGGAGGGGAGGAGGAGGTGACGGGCAGAGCTATGCGGCATGGTCTTCGGCGGGTACTGGTCTGCAGCCTGGGAGTTGGAGACCACAGTCTTAAAGCATTTACTAAAAAAGTTCATGAATCCTTCCTCTGTCCATTTAAGATGCATATGTATCCCCTATAATTCAAGAGTGTCTTTCTCAAGGACCCTGAAAGCCATTCCTTTGAAATGTAATCATCTGGAATGTTAGGGCCTCTCTCCCAGTCTCCATGGGGACAGATTCCTAACTTTGGTGATAATTTCCATCTAGCCTACACAGCTGGTCTAATCACATTTATACTGACCAACACTTTGTAATTTTTTTTTCGTGAGTCCCTGCTCTCTCCCACTCCCTCATTCTTTCTTTAAAATGCCCGATTACTACTGCACAAATTGAAACTGAAGCTCAGCTCTTTTCCCTGCTGTCAGTAATTACTGAATAAAATTGGTTTTCACCGCTTTAGCTAATGTTCAGTTTTGTTTCTCTTTAACAACCATCCCCACTCCCAATGCACACAAAAATTTTAACTGATAACAAAGGTGTCAACGCTTTATTTTGCCAAATAAGGATGTTTTAAAAAACCTTATCATGGTTATTTCATAAAACACATTTTAATATCAAGAAAGAAGAAAGGATATACTTAATTAAAAAGCCAATTCCTTTAAATTAGATATGTTTAGCTTTAAGAAAAATAAATTTCATTGCCCTTCTTTTGCCCCAGACAGGTAAAAATAATCCCTGGCATACCAAGGCTCCAATATTGGCACAAATGACAGTGCAACAGTGTGACATAGGAGAAGCAGATCACTGAACATTCAGAGACTGGTCAGGCTTTGACAAAAAGGATCTCCTAGGCGATTATCTTAGATGAAGATTTGGGGCCTTTCCTCCACCCTTCCTGGTAGCTTGTCAACTTCCTAAATGTATATGGGGCCCTAGGCAGGGGGAGGGAGCCCTAGTCATAACTGTATTTTCTGCCTGCTGTGACCAGAATGGGGGCTTAGAGTTGTATTGAATTTGCAAAAAAAAAAAAAAAAAATTCCCTCTACAATGCACTTTGAGGTTACAAATGAACACTCACTATATTTACAGCACCGGAAAGTGTTAAGCACACACACAAACCAAAAATACAAGCGTCCAGACATTAGCTATGTCTTTGAAAAGTTACTTTTAAAATGTTGCCTGCAAACAGGATTAAGATACAGTTGGCAGGCTCCATCTTAAGAAAATATTAGAGGTGTCCCGTCTCTTGTTCTTGTCCCCTAGTCACCTCAGAATGGAAAACATCCAATGGGTATCCTGGCTATGTTTAACCCTTTACTCTTAATATATGGTTTAAAAATAGCTACTTAGAATTTTATACAAATCTTGGAGTTATAAAGTTCCATGAATAAATCTCGAGATTTTTATCAGCATTATATTAAATCTAGAGGTCAATTTGGAAAGAACTGACAATTGCATAATGTCTTTCATATTATAAATATGTAATATCTCTCCATTTATTTAGTGCTCATATCTCAACACAATTTTGTAATTTTCCTATAGGTGTCGTGTGTGTGTGTGTGTGTGTGTGTGTGTGTGTTATCTTTTATAGATGAATTTCTAAATATTTGGTATTTTTTATTGAAGATTTGGAAATCTATATTCTATATTGGTCTGCTGTTTTCTTTCTTTGTCTTTGTCTGTTTTTGGAATTGGGTTAATGCTGATCTCATAAAATAATTTAGGAAGTATTCTTTCCTTTTCTATTTTTTGTAGGAGATCATATAAAATTGGTATTTCTTCTTTAAACATTTGGTAGAATTCCCCAGAAAAACCATCTGGTCCTTGAGATTTCTTATTTTGGAAGGTTTTATGTTATGAGTTTAGTTTCCTCAATACTTATTGTTCTGTTAAGATTATGTATTTTACCTTAGATCAGTTTTCATAGATTGTGGTATGTGAGGAATTTGACCATTTAATCTACGCTGTCAAATTTATGTATGTAGAGTTTTTTAAAATATTGACTTAACAGTCCTTTTTGTTGTCTGTGGAATCTATAGTGAAATCCCCTCTTTAATTGCTGAATTTATATCTTCTCTCCTTTTCCTTTTCAGTTGTGCTATAGATTTCATTTCAATTTCATTAACTTTTCAAAGAATAAGCTTTTTGTTTAATTTCCTCTATTGTTTTTCTGCTCTTATCTTTCACTGATTTCCAGCCTTTAATATATCCTTCCTTCTCTAGTTTTTTCTAGTATCTTAAGGTGGAAGCAGAAGTTACTGATTTGAGATCTTTCTTCTTTTCTGATATGTGTTTAGAGCTCGAAGTTCTCATGTACCTGCTTTAGCAGTATTCCACAAATTTTATGTCACATTTTAATTTTCATTCAGTTCAAAATATTTTCTAATTTACTTTGTGAGTCCCTCTTGACCCATAGATTTTTTAAAGGTTATACTATTTAATTTCCAAGTATTTTGAGATTTTTCAGTTATCTATTATTGATTTCTTGTTTAGTTCCATTATGGTCAGAGAACATATTTTATAGTATTTCAACTCTGTAACATTTGTTAAGGTTTACTTTATAACCCAGTACATAGTTTATGTTGGTGAATGTTCCATGTGCTTCGTATATTTTGTGCATGTATGTTTAGGATTATTATGACTTTGTGGTGAATTTACCTTTTATAATTATGTGACATCCATTTTTATCTCTGAAGTCCACTTTGTTTGATATTAATATAATCACTCCAGTTTTATTTGGTTTAGTTTTGTATAGTGTATCTTTTCCTAACTTTCTTCTTTCTTTCTTTTTTTAAGAAATGGGGTCTTGCTCTGTCACCTAAGCTGGTGTGTGGAGTGCAGTGGTG